ATATATCTATTAATTCGTGTATAGCCTTTTCGGGCTATAACACGTAAGATTTATCGATATTAAAGAATTCACGATAGGTTCCTAAAAAAAGAAAATCAACGCTAGGAAATCTGAAATACCTTCGGGTATTTACTCGAGTTTGCGGTGGCCGTGTGACGAGTACTCGTCGGAGCCAACCCCCACACGAAGAAGAAAAAGAAGAAGACTCGAGCTTGCACGATATTATAGAAGCTGTGAATTATTCTGCAAAATCTGTGGGTTCGCATATCCATTAGCAATTTGGTGCTATTATCGGGCGCAAAATTATTATGAAACTTTCCTGCGATATTGTGAAATGTGATATGATTTATTATGTAAACTTTTCCGAAAAACTTTGCCGTATACTCGATTTCGATACGCGCAATAAGCTCAATGCTAGCGTTGTGGATCATTTACCGTTGTGGCTCTTTAGTGAAACAGACTTCAATATACAGAATACCGATGAGAAGCATGGTAAAATTGAAAATAATACCGGTACTCTAAGCGTCTTACCTTCCTGGATTTATGATGTTGAAATTTATACATCACCATCTTACATATTTCCGCGCGAACGTGTAATAATAGCTGCCGAACCAGCTAGTTTGTTGCGCGGTATCCCCGACAAGCTCTTTGTCTGAGTGCAAGATGCGAGGGAAAAAAAGAACAAATACAAAAACATCGAAAAATAAGAGAAGAAAAAATCGCATAATGGTGAAAAGACTTAAGACATCCGCGAAACGGCGTAAAATTGGTAGAAAGCGCACCGTATCCGACATATTTTCTTAAACGGCATATATTCTAAACACATCAGCGAGAATTACAGCGACGACAAAAAAATTTGCGGTAAATAAGCATGTCCTTTCTTCACACGCATTCAAGCGAGTGTTTGAAGAGCGAACTCGATCTCTTTTCTTTACCGCCCACACAAACTAGTATCGAGAGTTCGCAATGGATTCATTACAAACCCGTGACTTCGCTCTCGGACAATTCTCCGATAGAATTCGTCATTCCGTTAAGTCTTCGCGTACGCATAGAAATACGCCGGGCGATTCCTCGGGACATACTGCGGGCGCATCTGCCGTGGCCACTATAGGCCCCGTAAATCATTTACTTCATTCCATGTTCAATCAGATCGACGTGTACTTCAACCAAAAGCTCGTGTCGCCAAACAACGCTTACGCGTACCGCGCGTACATCGAGGCGTTATTAAATTATTCTTCACCCGCAAAAACTTCCCATCTAACCTCCTGTCTATGGGACGCGGATACACCCGGTCAAATGGACGAACCGGTGGAATCAAAATCGCCAAATTCCGCCCTCAAGAGACGCGCGCGTTACATTTACGGCGGGCGAGCGCTAGATCTTGTAGGGCATCTCCATTGCGAGGTTTTCAATCAAGACAAATTTTTAATTAACGGTGTAGAAGTACGCTTGAGGCTCGTCCGTTCGAAAGATTCGTTCTGTCTTATGGACAGTAACGGTTCATCATCGAAAATTCATATACTGGATGCGAGCTTACTCGTGAGAAGGGCGAAAATAAACGCAGAATTGTTACTAGCGCACGCTAGAATGTTGAGTAAAGTTACGGCCAAATATCCGCTCACGAGAGTCGAAGTTAAAACATTTACGATTCACAGTGGTGTTATGGGTGAATCGTTAGATAATATAATACTCGGTCAACTTCCGAAAAGGATAATAGTCGGCTTTGTTAATAATAAAGCGTTTAATGGGGATAGAAAATTAAATCCGTTTAATTTCAAAAATTACGGAATAAATTTCTTCTCGCTATACGTCGACGGTATGCAAATTCCTAGTAGGCCGTTACAACCGGTTTTCTCGCCGGAGGAACCGCTTTACGTCGAAGCTTATCAAACTCTCTTCGCGGGAACGGGCATCCATTTTTTGAACGAAGGAAATTCTATAAGTAGAGACGATTATTCCAAGGGATATACGTTATTCGCTTTTGATCTCACGCCCGATCTGTCTGCTAATTACGCAGGGCATTGGAATCTCGTAAGACATGGTAGTTTGCGATTAGAAGTGCGATTCGAGAAGGCTCTCACGGAAACTGTTAATTGTATTATTTACGCCGAATTCGATAATGTAATGGAAATCGACTCGTCTCGTCAAGTCATCGTCGATTTTGCCGGCTAGATATTTATCGCGCTCAAGTATTTGACCGTTACAACGTAATACTCGGAAAATTTTTCTCATTTTTCTCCCCTTCACATTCGATCAAAATGTCAACAGCATAAAATATCAAAAAATGTGTAATGTAACAAAAAAGGATTCAGTTTCATTCGAGACACAAACGTCGACGCTTCGCGAACAATTTAATCGAGTGCGCTCCAGTCTTCACAATATGGATATAGTCATCGACATACAAGGTTTCCGCGATGCCAATGAGAAGTTTATCCCTAAGGAAGTTGCTGTTATCGCGCTTGATGCTCCATTCGTCGGACATTGGATTATGATGCCGCCGCATTCATTTGGTGATTCACCAAGAAAAGTAAGACATGAAAACAATTGGCTCACGCGAAATTATCACGGCATCGAATGGTTCGACGGTGAAGCTAATCCGAAATATTTTACAACGCAACTACGTGAAATAACAAGACGTGCACGTCGCATTTACGTCAGAGGTACCGAAAAAGCAAACTACTTGCAAAATCTACTTTCCAGAAATATATATAATTTGGAAGATATTTCCCCCGCATTCAAAAATCTGTCGGAGAGAGAAGCGTGCGGACGATATTGCGGTTACCACGGATTTCGAAAATTCGGAATCTTTCATTGCGCATTACGCAACGCATATAAATTAAAATATTGATTGATCGAGCAAAATAATATCGCCTACGGTGATACGAACAATAGTACTCAGGCTACTTGTGGTTCTCCGGATAATTGGAGTATAAACGACGGTGACGACGACGATGAAAACGACGAAAACGAAGACGACGAAAACGAGGAAATCAGTAGCGCGGATGGGATTTCTCGCGATAGAAATAAAATAGAGAAAAAAAATCTGCAAAAATCAGAGAAAGCATCAGTAAAAGAAAAAGAGAAATTTGAAAAATCTGAATTATCGGCGTTGATGGATAGTGCCAAGTTCGAAGCAACTACTAACTCCACACAAGCCGCCATTGAAAACTCAACGTTACAAGGCGACTCGGACAAAGACGCGCTTCCGAAGGAGGCAAAAACCGAAGTTATTGAATATATAATACCGCTTGTTTGTTCACCGTACTCCGTGCCAAAATAATGAACTCTCGCGAAATTCTACAAGCATTGCGCCACATCAATGCCAGACATGCGGGAGTTTATCCGGCCGACAGAGTCCTGAGGGTGTGGACGAGGTCGACAGCCATCATCACTAATATGGATGACCACAATCGACCTGGAGAACATTGGGTCGCCTTCTTCCTCGAAAAATGCACTATATAATATTTTAATTATATGTAATAAGAATATTGAATTATGAAAAATTAATATCAATAAACGTGGTATCTTTTTACGTAAATTGTTAAATTTTTTTCATCTACTCTCCTCTTTCCTTTTACAGTATAATGTTCCAAACGTGGACATTAGAAATTGTTCAGCACATATTATTAGTGAGCTTTCTTCTTTCGCTCGCCCTTCTAACTCTAATTTCAAACAGCTTTGTTTCAAGACTGATAATTTTCTTAAAAGTAATCCCAACGTGATCCTTACGAAAGCGGATAAAGGTAATGTTATGGTTGCTTTAGATCGAAGCGAGTACATTGAAAAGATGGAAGATATTCTTGGGGACACAGATACATATACCATCCTTACAAAAGATCCTACAAAAAAACACACAGGTAGCCTATGCGACTTACTTAGTAAATGGAGAAACCTTGGCTTTATTTCTCCTGGTACCTACAGACATCTTTATTGCAGCGACAGGATACTACCTAGGGCTTATGGTCTCCCTAAAATTCATAAGCAGAATCACCCTCTCAGAATTATTGTTTCCTCTCTTAACAGCCCACTATATCACTTAGCCTCTTACTTGCACCGATGTTATAGCCCGAAAAGGCTATACAGGAATTACTAGATATATATTATTTTAGAAATATATTATTTTATATGATATAAGACATTGCTCAACGTGTAACGCGAATACAGATCACGTTACGAACGTTGACCGAGCGAAGCGCTGACAACGCGAGCCACGCGCGAAGCCCGAGCGACCGCGCAATCACTTCATTGCGAAAACGCGGAAATTAAGGCAAGCGGAATAAGGGCGTTGCGAAAATGCAACGTAGAAGTACTACCTAAAAACAAAATAAAAATGAATAAGGAAATTGCGAAAATGCAAGCAAAGAAATCCTACTTAGAACTCCTTAGCTTGCACCCGGATCTTGCTGCCAAAATCGAGCGACCGAATTATGTTCCAAAATTTTCCTACAGCACATGGTCAAGTCTTAAACAGTTTTCAATTGGTTAAGAAACTATCTTTTGTAATTATTAACGATAATTTCAATCTTATTTCATTGGATGCCACCTCCCTCTTTACCAACATACCTGTTGAGCTTGCTATTGAAAGCATTCAAAAAAGATGGAACTTTGTTTCTGAGTGTACGATCCCCCTGATTTGTGCTTGATTCAACGTTCTTTACGTTTAGAGAGGTGATTTATCGACCAACTTTTGGTACTCCTATGGGCTCTCCTTTATCTCCCATTATAGCAGATATTGTTCTGCAGGACTTGGAGGAGAAAGCGTTGGCGAGTTTGAAGTTCACACCGCCTTTTTATGTCAGATATGTTGATGATGTCGCTTTAGCCGTTCCTACGACTGAGTTTGATTATACATTGGACGTTTTTAATTCTTTCCATCCGAGAATTCAATTTACGATCGAGATTGGCGAGCATGATAGGCTGAACTTCCTGGACATTTCCATAATCCTCATTAACAACCGCCTAATTTTTGACTTGGGTAAATATAGCGAATAGGGGACCCAGCCCCAATGACCTCGACTTTGATATATGTTGTCAAGGACATAATTCTGAGTAACTTTTTCTTCTAATTTAATCGTCGCTCGTTGCTTATTAAAAAGTTATTAACAAAAAAAGTTTGAAATATACCGAAGTACACGCATAGACAGGAAGCACGCGCGCGCGCGCACACACGCGCACACACACACACACACACACACACATTGGGGCTGGGTCCCCTATTCGCTATATTTACCTTTGACTTGTACCGACTTTTTCAGGTAGATATCTTAATTTTTTATCACAACATCCTCTATGCCAAAAGAGAGTTACGATTATAGGCTTGATTGATAGAACATTCTTATTATCGCATCCTCAGTTCCATCAAAAGAACTTCAATAATATCATTAAAATCCCACTTGACAACGATTATCCGCTTGATTTTATTTTTCAGACTACACATTACCGCCTTAAATTTCTTTTTAACTCTAGATCCAATCAACTTGTTTCTAACACTGAAACTAATGATAAGACAAGTTTTCCATTTTTCACGATCCCATTTGTTCCTTGTGTTTCCGAACGTTTTAAGATTATCACTAGAGATCTCGATGTTAGACTTTCTTACTTTAGCCTTAATAAACTTTCTCGTTTTATTAAGGTTCATAAAGATATCCTTCCGAAATCCTCTTCTACCAACGTTATATACAAAATTAAATGCAATGATTGTGATGCATCATACGTTGGTCAGACTAGTAGAAGATTACAAACGAGAATCAACGAACATCGGAATCATATACGCAGAAATACATCTAATAGTTCAGTTATTACTGACCATAGATTAAACTTTAATCATAAGTTTAATTGGAATAATATCGAGATCTTAGACAATGAACCTTTCCTAAGGAAACGTCTAATTTCAGAAATGCTTTTTATTAAAAGACAGAAAAATAGTTTGAATTTGCAGACGGATACGGAATGCTTACATCACATTTATGTCAACGCGATCGAAAAACTCCCAAACATCTGATTTCTTATTTGTAAACAGTTCCACTGATACACCTCTCTAGGTAAATATTTTGACATCTTTCAGTCTGCGAACTGTCTACCATATGTTTGCCTGGTTTTGAGTTTGGCAAGGAGCGTGCGTTGACTATATAATTAAGGTTAATTTATTATCCGTTGGCGTTTTCTTATTTATTATTTTTTATTTTTTCTGACTTAGGCCGATTTTACTACAAGCAAATTTACGCATCTCTTTTTGTAAGTTCCTTATTTTATTTTACTTCAAATTATCAGTCTCGTCATACGTGCGTTTCCCCACAATTTAAATGTTCCAGGCAGAGAGATGCGTGCGATCTTTGCCATAATGGGCGCCTTATTAATTATTAGTCATAGACCATGGGGTTTATACCTCTGTTGGTCCATCAACCACGGAGGAGCGCACCTTGGACGTTGACGTGTTAATTTAATTTAATATTATTAGTCATTTTGCGCTTTCCACATTGCGCTGGCTCATATTGCCTGTTTTTTTATATTTAAAATTTAAATTTTCAAAAAAGAAAGAGGATATGATTAAATATAAAATCATGCTGTCTAAAACTAGAATAGGTTTGAGAAACATCAAAAAAGAAAAATTCAAAGAATTCTGTAAAGGATTGAGAAAGGAATCTGACCTTTCATATATTTGGAAGAAAATCAAACAGTTTAAAAATCGTAAATTATGCTCAGATTCCTCCAATCAATATAACGGAGACAATCTTATCTCAGTTGGGAAGCTTATATCGGAACTATGCCCTCCCTGGGCCCCCTTGCCGATACCTGACTTTTCTAATCCCACTTTAGAACAGGACGATTTTTCTTGATCTCCCCTTTTCGATATCGGAATTCGAAGTGGCAATGAACGATTTAAGATTGAAATCTAGCCCTGGACTCGGTTGTATCGATTATAAAATTCGAAGTGCGCTTCCGGATACTGCTAAAGAAATACTTTAAAAAATTTTTAATGAATTTTTTTCTTCTAAAACTTTTCCGGACGATTGGAGGAAATATATATTGTTCTTTATTCCCAAATCGGATAAAAAAAATATAGACCAATATCCTTGGCTTCATGCATTTGTAAGATTTTCGAAAGATTAATTTGTAATCGCATGACATGGTGGTTAGAATATAAGGAATTTTTACCGAAGTCGTAATTTGGT